AAACTCTGGGTAGTGTAGGGAATCACCCTTGCTGGCCCCAGTCTGCACCTGCTCCCCAGGCTCTGCACAACTGATTTATTTAGTTACCTTCATTTTTGCTGTCTCAGAGCAATTAGTATTTAGCAATGCTATTAATAATATGAACTTGATGTCATTTGGAAATCATAATAAAGAGTAGTTGATTGTGAACCTCTGTGTTTCCCTTGATGGAACATGGTCTCCATTGCAGTGATATATTGTGTACCCTAAAAAAATTACCTGAAGATCAGAGAACAGGAGCCACTAGGTTAAACAAAGAAGCCTGGCAATGGTGGCTTTTTGGCACACACCTTTAATCCTAGCACTCCGGAGGCAGAGATGTCTGGATCTCTGTGAGTTCAAAGCCACCCTGGACTATATGAGATTGACTCAGTCTAGGAGAGAAACAGAGCCAGGCAGTGATGGAACACACCTTTAATCCCAGCACTAGAAATCTCATGCCTTTGCTTGGGAAGCACACATGCCTATAATCCCAGCACTAGAAAGGTAGTAATATGGCTGGGTGGCAAAAGGTATATAAGGTGTGAGGAGACAGGAACTAAAGCTTATCCACTGGAGAGCTTTTGGTTAAGGACTCTGAGATATTCAGTCAGAGGATTCATGGAGTTGGCGAGGTAAGATGTGGGGTGGCTTGTTCCTTTGTTTCCTCTGATCTTTAAGCATTTACCCCAATATCTGGCTCGGTTATTTTTTTCAATAAGATCTATTAGAATTCAGACAACACTCCATTTGATTAATCTCATTCCCATTAGCAGGTACTCATAGAGTGTCTCAAAAATACCTAAGAGGTTAAAAAAGCTACCCTATCAATTCTGTATTATTGTAATACACAGGGCAGCCATAAGTTGGATATTGTGGATGATGAAAGCTTTGGCTCTCTGGGGAAATCCAGCCTATCCCCCATGGAAGTCACCCTATGAAAATTGCATTGGTTAGTCAGTTAAACTCTAACAACAACACAACATTCATACCATTCTTCCTCTTTCTGTTGATTGTTCCCAAATTCACAGAGAGGAGAATCCCTTTCTATCCCAACTCTGTGGTTTATATTTGAAGTCCCTGATGCTGTTGGCATCTTGTACATTTCCCAGAGGACATCTGAAGGACATTGGAATCAGAGGATAAGAAATTTCTCTCCACAATACCTGGTGAGGAGACCCTTCCTGAGTATCATGTGACATGGTATAAGAGGCCCAGAGGGTAAGGAAGGATAATGATGAACTATGAGAATAAATTCCAGGAGGAAAATAAGTGTACTGTCAGGAAAATAAACACCACAATCAGCTCTCAGTTGAGGTGCTCACATATGTGAGAAGAGCCAAGACAAACTGGAAACAAATTGAGTTTTTTCATTGAGTCTTGTTTACACAACTTTATGACTTTGATCTGATTAAAAAGTGTATTTAAACCACAGAATCCCACAGTGTGATGGAAATTTTCAAAATGTGACCATTCTATCAATGGCAGAGTCATTTCTGTTCCCGAAAGTGACATTATGTCTATGTGGATCCTGAATGTGTATTTTCTTAATTAAAAACAAAACAAAACACACTCCAGTATACATAGACAGAAAATATTGGACTTAGACATGTCAAAGTTATAACAGATGGGAAAAAATCAAGAAAGGTCCTGAGTGGCCTCGCTGGTTTTAGAACAGAGAAAGTGTGTGCATGTGTGTGCATGGAGGGGGGTGTCCTGTGCCACACAATGATGTCTCCTCACTGTGACTGTCACTTTTGCAGTCAAACATACAAACCTCAGGGATAACTGGTCTTTAGCTGTGTTTCTGGAAGTGGAGATGAGGCTGAACAAGGATGGGTTTTGTTTTCTGACTCCACAATAACTTCATTTCCCAGCTGTGTATCTGCTTTTCTAAGCTTGGAAAATCCAGTGCCAGTGGGTATCAGCTTGCAATAGAATAGTCAGAGACAGCTCAGGTGGAGACAGAACCTTGATGGATTCACAAGGCCAGGTTGCCCTTGACAGTCACCACTCAAAGCTTTTCAAGTGCCAATGGGCTATAGACAGGAACCCTGACCTTGGGAACCTGAAACAGAGATAAAAGCAGAGCCCGTATTACTATTGTCTTAGTTAGGGTTTCTATTGCTCCAAAGACACAAGATGGCCATAGAAACTCTAATGAAGAAAAGGTTTAATTGGAGGTAGCTTATAGTTTCTGAGGTTTAGACTATTATCATCTTCAGACAGAAATGATACTAGAGAAGGAGCTGAGAGTTCTTAATCTTAATCTGCAGAAGTGAACTGTGACACTGGTATAGCTTGAACATAGGAGACCTCAAAGCCCACGCCCACAGTGACACACTTCCTCCATGAAGACCACACAAACTACAACAAGGCCACACCTCACACTTCCTTTGGGGGCCATTTTTTTCAAACCCTCAGTATTTTTTTTTTTGAGACAGGGTTTCTCTATGTAGCTTTGCGCCTTTCCTGGAACTTACTTGGTAGCCCAGGCTAGCCTCGAACTCACAGAGATCCGCCTGCCTCTGCCTCCCAAGTGCTGGGATTAAAGGTGTGTGCCACCACCGCCGGGCTCAAACCCTCAGTATTATCTTATAGCCCAAATCTTCTCTTCTTCAGATGCCTCAGTCCTGTGTGAGCAGAGACTTCTGTGTGTGCACTCTCCTCCACTGAGGATGCAACTTCCCCCCAGGAGATAAGAAGACTATATGAGTTTTGAGACCTCAGTATTTACAAGTAGAGATGACCAGAGCTCAGGTTCCCCTGTGTCTTCCATGAGGTCTGCTAAAAATTTCTTCTTAAACTCACAAAGAGTGTAAGTTTGTGATGAGATATCATTTGCCTTGATATATAAAATCCCTTGTTTAAAAACAGATAATACTGTATCTGTGTAGGTCCATGTTCTATAAAAGCTTTAGAGTGTAGGTCAGCATACTGAGACTGGGAAGGCACTAAATATGAGACTAGAGAATACTGCATAATGCATAATTTCAGAAATATTGACAATTAACATGTACATACATTGTGTCAATAAATGAGTTCTGTGAAAAATGTTTTAATAGTACTTTTAACAAACTTCCAGGAAATATACTTTTGTGGCAATACATTATGATAAAAATATCTCTTATGTTCTAAGAGATTAAACTTTTTGCTGGACCACACAGACAGAGCAGAAAAATACACTTTGAAGTCCTCCAGACTGTGATCAACTGTGTACTCGGGCTGTTTAACCTTTATTTAAGAAAATATTGTAACACCCAGCCTTACTTGCCTAGGATTTCCAATATATTCAGCTTTTGCATAAAGTGATAAGGCATACCTCTCACCTTATTTTGTGTGCTCTTCCATCTTCCTTACTGAAGATTAATGCATGTGTGTTTGTATATGTGTTATGATAATCTTTTGCTGAAAATACAAAATGTATGTTTAAATAAATTTTATAAAATGAGTATCCATGATTGTCTAAAACAATATACAGATGCTGTTTGACAAACAAAAAGATATATGTAGTACTTATTTGAGTCAGAGGGAAAAAGTTATTAATCCATTGTAAAACTCTCTTAAAATTTCTCTCAAAATCCCTTTTTCTTTTCCCATGTGATGCATTCTATGATGTTCAACAAATACAAAGCAAAGCTCTTTGTTAAGGACAGAGGGGGGAAAGGGGATAGGGAAAGGGAGAATGAGAGGGAGAGGGAGAGAGAGACACAGACACACAGAGAGACAGAGATCCAAGCAGATGGAGAGAAAGAGATGCAGAAGAAAAGATGGAGATGATACAGAGATTCAGATCCTACAACAGATACAACAGAAGACAACACAGGAAGAGCCAACCAAGTAGGGGATTCAAAACTGGGCTTGCACTTGGTTAAATGACATCAATGGGAATTGTTTGATTTCTTTCCCTAATGTGATGTGGAAACAGTATTGATGAATCTGAGTTTATTATCAATGTGTTCCACCAACTACAAAACTTATATAAATGAATTGGAGTCAAAGCATAATTAAGATAAACTCATCAACTATTGACTGTTACAAAGAAATACTCATGATGTTGCAGCCATGAGACTCATTCAGAATATTGAGGAAAAAATAATGATAAGATGTGTTGCTCTATGAGTCCAGTTATATTAAAAATTCAGTCCTGCGAAACCAGCTTAGGCTAGCACTACAGACTCACCAAAGGAAAAGGAAGTCCCAGGAAGAGGAAGTCCCAGAAAAACAAACATCTTCCTATTAAATCACTTGTATCTTTTCTTTATACTTCTCTTCTGTATGTTAATATGTTTATGGATCCTTACTCATAAAAGGCCTTATAGAAGTTTCTCAGGCTGGACACTTACAGACAATGTTTCCAGTCATTAGAGAAGTATGACAAATCCTACCTATGACCCCCACCACTATTCTCCACATAGAAATATCTCAAAAATAATGTTACAGAAAATGGGGTTCTGAGTCATTTCCCTACAAGAATAATAGATGTTACGGCAAATATCTATGAAATAATACCCTTAGCCTGACAATCTCTTAAGAAAACAATGCTCACCACACCTTAGTTTAGTCTGTGGCTTCTGTAATGGATTAACAAATGCCTGTCCACTGCTGCTCATAACCAAAGTCAGGGACCTGTATAAAATTACTTATCATCAAATTATTAGAAAAGGAAACTTCCAAACAGTGACCAAACAGCTTGCCAGCCTTCAAGTGGATGACAGCCAAAGCAGCCAAGCTGCTATCAAGGCTTGGAATAAATTTCCTGCTATTAACACTTCCACAGGCATCTTTCCCACTATACACAGAAATCTACAGAGCTCTTTGTGACTTATTCTTTCATCTGCAACAAGCTATAGAGCAGCAGACAGATAATAAAGAAGTAGTGTCCACCTTATCTCTTTCATCTGCTTATCAAAATGAAAATTTTAACTGTAAAAAGCTTCATTCTGAAGTTGAAAATACCTCTCATACTATTGCTGATTTGATTAAAAGCATCTCAAAATGATGGCACAGAGGAATATCAGGCTCAGATTCTGGCTTGTCCTTGTGGTCTCCTGTGTTTCAAATGTGGAGGGAACATGCAATTTACAAAAATAATAAAAACTAAAACTTGCTAATCATCCTCAGAATAGTAAAATTCTCTCTAAAACACCTTCACAATGTAAGATGCATTTTCACTGGTTCAGTCAATGTTGATCTAGAAGTGGTGACAAAGAGAATCTAATTTCAGGAAACAGGGCAATGAGCACCCAGGGCTGCTGATGACAGGATCAGGTCTCTACTTTCTCAGCTTGGAATCCCACTGCTCTTTCCCCAGTGCTGTCTGAGCAGGAGCCCAGCTTGTTGCCAAAGTAGCAGACTCTCCACCCTGGGAACTCCACATGACACTCAGCTCCATCCCTAATCCTAAAGTAATAAGAGATTTGATTACCACTGCCAAAAGCAATTCACGATCAGATGTGTCAATAATTAAAGACATAAAATTTTATTTCAAAGTAGAGGTTAAAGAATCTACTCCCAAATCTATGGGGATCTATTTCAAACTATCTTTTCTTCTTTTAGGGAAGCCAAATTGCACCATCAAAGGGGCTTTGTTTATACATATTCTGTTGATTTCTCTTTTATTGGCCTAATTTATACTATACTTTATTCCCAGCTATTGCAGCAATAGTTCCAGTCCCATAGATTTAAGAGATATTTATACCGTAATGTATTGCTACAGTTTGTACTATTTTAGTTTATTAGAGATGAATCATGTCAAGAGAGATGGTCATTGGTAAACAGCTGGTCGAGGTATGGTGTATTATAAGGGAATCCTGAATCAACATCACTTTATTCCCAGCAGTCCTTTAGAAAAGCTGACAAAGACCCTATAAGACTGTGAAATGACAGACAAAGGGACATGCAGAATGATTATTTTTGAGCAAGGTTCCAGGCTAATCTTCTCTGTCATCTCAGGCCCAGGGCAGCTTCCTGCTCCTCCAGGGTTTCTGACACACTCAGGATGTGGTTGCAACACTGTGTCTCTTGCACAATAATAGACCCCAGAGTCCTCAAATGTCAGGCTTCTGAGCTCCATGTAGGCTGTGCTGGAGGATTTGTCTGCAGTCAGTTTGACCCTGTCCTTTAACTTCTGAATGTAGGCAGTACCACCATGTCCAGTATTAACATATCCAATCCACTCCAGGCCCTGTCCAGACCTCTGCTTCATCCAGTGTATACCATAGCTAGTGAAGGTGTAGCCAGAAGCCTTGCAGGACAACTTCACTGAGACCCCAGGTTTCAGCAGCTCAGCCCCAGACTGCTGCAGCTGGACCTGGGAGTGGACACCTGTGGAGAGAAAGGCAGAGTGGATGTCATTGTCACCTCAGTCCTTGTTCCTTCTTCAGGTTTGGAACTGGAAAGCCTCTTACCTGTAGTTACTGACAGGAGGAAGAGGATGATCCAGTTCCATGCCATGGTGAGGCCCTGTGTGCTCAGTGACTGGAGAGGACACTGATCATATGTTGTTGAGGGGATTGCACATCCTTGTATTTACAACCATAGACTCGAGTAATTTTCATATTCATGAGCAGGGTACTTCTTACATAAGGACCTAGTACAGCTGGAGAAGAAAGAGGTAGGGGACACCTGGGCCATGCAGCAGGATGCTGAGGGTCAAATCCTAATCCTCTCTGAGGAAATTTATAACATGCTCCTTCCCTGAGCCCTGTGCAGATGCTGAGAATATAACATCAGGACCTAAGCTCTCAGTAGATGTGAGGCCTGAGGCAGTTGCTCCACTTTGTGAGAAGGATCTCAGATTGAAATACAAATGTGGTTGTGAGGATGATGGTGGTGATGGGAAATTTAAAACCTGCTAAGTTTTGAGAATTTGCAACCTCTTTTCAGAAACATGCAATTAATAGTTGCCATTCCAACAAATTGTATACTAAGAAACTCACCCAAACCCCAAAAAGTAAATATACTTCAGAAATATTTGCACAACAATGATTATTGCAGCAACATCACATAACTAAATTATGGAAATAAACTATGTATCTCTCAACAGAGGTTTTCATCAAGAAGACATGTTTATATAAACAACACAACAGAAGTATTTCATCTCCAAGGAATATGGAAATTATATCGGTTATAGAAAAATGAATGCAGCTAGAAATTAGGTATTAAGAGCATCTCAGAATCACAGACATTAAATGAGACCCTCATTAGCAGTTCTTAGATACTACATACTTAGCTACAACTATGAATGCAAATACATGATGAAGTATAAGTGAAATTGTCTAGTAGAATAAGGTGAGGAGGAGGGGAAGGAAAATGAAGGGTAGAGATTATGGGGGAAATATACACACTGTACAAAATATATGTGGAGGAAAATGGTTAACAATTGTAAAATTGTTATTTTTACATCCCATAATTTATAGGCTTTGAAATTTCAATCCATGTATAAAATATAGTATGATCATATGTACACCCACTATGTCCCATTGATTCCTCTTGGGACCATAGAATAGGTCTCTCTCCCAACCTCCTGACCTCTTTTGTTTAAATAACTAGCATCACAGTGAGTCCAGTCAGTTCCATTTATATACACATAGGTGCAGTCATTCACTAGTATATAGGAAATCTTCCAAAGAAAACTGATTGTTTTCCTCATCTATCATCAAATGCCAATAGATCCTCAGACTGTTGTGGGCCCTCAGGAGTTTCTCTCCATCCATGTTATAGTTTTAAAAATTGTTATACTATCTTTACTGGTGAGAACAGGGCAGCAGAGGCCATATGAATGATCTGGGAGTCCCCTCCACACCAACCTCATCTCTACTGGGGATTCTTGTCTCCACTGTGCCCCCTTTTGGTTCTGAGGTCACCTGCAGGTTGGTTTTTCATGGTTTGCACTGAAGTTATGCTATCTCCCTTAGCAATAACATATTCCTGCAACTTTGGTCCTCATAGACCTCATCTGCAGAGAGAAAAGGTTGTTGTTTATCTGGAGATGCTGACTGGATGTTTCAGAGATTGATTTTAAGTTGTTTCTAGACTATCATCAGTGATCCTCTAAATGGTAGCCTCCTCCTTCCTGGGAACAGTTGGATTCTGCTCTAGCAGTTCTCTCTTGTAGTAATGTGACAACAGGAGAGAACAAAGTCTTGACTACCTTCTTCAGACTGTACCTGGGACAGAGCACCTGATGTCTGGGAATCACAATGAATCATAAGCTCAGATGTATATTCCATGTATCCATGTATGAATTCCTGAGAAATGCAGATAAAGGGGTCAACAGAAGAGTATAACCCACTGTGGTACTCACAGAAAAGTTAACAAGTCCAGAAAACTATAATCACATTAAGACGGAAGTAGAAATGAAGCAAATATATGCTGTGACTCAATCTGTTCCCCACACTGCACATGCAGTCATATAAAGGAATGAGGAGAGAGGGGAGATCTACTTGACAAGGATCCTCATGGTTGGCAGGATATGTGTACTTACATCATTTTATCTCTCCATGTCTACCTCTTCAGGTCCAGAGTCCACTTACTCTTGGATAAGGCATGTTTTCGTTGAGCTTTTCAGAAGCTGAATATTTTCATGAAAGAAAAATGGATTTGTACTATGCTCCCAGGAATGGGACAAGCCAAGAGCACTATGTAGGGATATGTGTGCATATGTGTTTAAATGTCACAAGTATAGCTTCAATTTTAAAACAAAAATAAATACAACATAAATTCAGGCTATTCATGTATATTTTGCTCTAATATCAGGTCATGAAACAGATGTACCTAACTAATGCTGTAGGATAGATGGATCAGGGACCAGTATGATGAATTCCTTATCTTCTATTTCTAGTCAGGACTGATATGATATCTTGTAGACTTGTAGTTCACAGGGAAATACCTTTTTCTCATTGTAGAGAAATACTTATCTGTGGTGATATTTTATTTGTGCTTTAATAAATTAAGCTTGTCTGGAGATCAGAGGAAAAACCCAGCCATCCTAAGTAAACAAAGAAGTCAGGCAATAGTAGCACATGCCTTTAATCCCATCACTTGGCATGCAGGGATCTGTCTGGATGTCTGTGATCTCAATGCTACACTGGAAACAGAGCCAGGTGTGGTGGCACATACCTTAAATTCCAACAGTAGTTAACCATGGAGGTATGGAGGTCTGTATAGACAGACAGGAAATGATAGAGGCAGCTGCCTGCCTAGACAGTCATCCAAAATTCCTCTGTAATTTTGGGGCATCCATCTTTAGCCATATAGGCAGAGAGTCTCTCAGTCACTTCTCTCTGTGTCCTGTAAAATGTCTGGCAGTCTCCTCTGTGAAGCAGGAACCTGAAGAAAAATTTTGCTTTGTTTTGGCAAAATTTATTGGTCACTTTTTCATGGGTCGTGCATGTCCAGTCTATACAACATCTTGTCAATCAGTCCTGACAAGAAGAGTTTCTCCCCCAAATGGCTATTTTTGCCAATAACATAAACTCCATATAGAGTATCTTCAATGACAGTCTTTCTCTTTGAAGTAAATCAGTGCTGCCAGGACAGACATGTCTCACTATCCAGAAAGTCTAAGTTTTTAAAACATTTTAAATGCCATATTCTGTAAGTCTTTGAAGTGTTTGGAGTTTACCTACCTAATTGAAATATACAGTTCTATACCTAAAAAGCTTAACTAGCATGATTATAAGCTTGATTATCTTGGGTGGCTAATAATATGCATTTCTTAATTATAAATTACAATTTCAAATGAGCTGCACAAACATAATACCTTAAACAAGAGTAGAAATATACATACAGTATAACACAATTAAATTTAAATTTGTATAAAAAACTAAAATCTATAGCAACATAAAATATTTATCCTATATTTCTATATCACTTATCCCTGCAATTCAGGGTGCTGAATGGTTTTATCTTGGCATTTCATAATCTCTGTTAGGCTAAATAATGTCTATAAAATCACATTTCATACTTTAGTGCATGGGATACTGATGCCCATCACAGGTTACGATGGAAAGGAGTACATGTCTACTTAAATAGTATGGAGACTATCTCCTCTTACAATATAATCCATTCACAAAATTCTGGGCCCTGTGAGAATATAAATAGATACTATGGGCTTATTCTCCTGACTTAAAGTAATAATAGGATTATAATATGTGCAGATCAGATGCAATAAATGTGCAAGTGAGCAGGAGTTTTCCTTGAATACATCATATATTGATTTCTATCTCCTTTTATGATTGTCCATTTACTATGTGGATTATTTACCCTTTTCCTCTGGCTAGGGCCTGTTTACATTGATCTAAAACCCTCAGCAATTCCTCCTGTAACTGTGCTGTATTTTACTCTTCTGAACACTACTTAAGGACCTGAGCACCACTTGTACAATTACTGAATCCCTCCATAGGGAGAAATCTGTCTGGAAATAGCCTCATATCTCCTTATTCTGATTCTCATAGATTGATGCATAGGGTTTGCTCAGTGGTCAGATATCTAAGATGCAGGAAGATCCAGTTTAGAAGATGTTTCTAGACATCTCTGGAGTGTCCCCTCTGTAACTTACCTCTGGAAGGAAGTTACAGACAACCTCTGCAGCCCATTCTTTTGGGAAAATGTCATGAATTGGCAACACTAACTACTAAACAGTCTACAGCAAATCACTGAGGATGACTGTGACACCCATGTATCGCAAAGACTGGAGGAGAATGTCTTATGTCACTACATTCAGTGTTCTGTAACAGGCTGTGATTACAGGGCAGGGTATTGAGACTGGGGAAGACTATGAATGTGGAATCAGTGATCACTTCTTAATCTCAGAACCAATTCATAAAAGCTGATAAATATGAACTCATTTGGTGAATAAACTTTGTTAATAAAAAATCAAGAGCAACACTCATCATCGCCTAGGAATTACACATTGATGTGAAGTGTGATCAAACATTTCTACTACAAAGTATTGACTCAATTATGGTAAACACATGCTCATATTGATATCAACAGGGGAATGTGTGGCTCAAGTTCACTAATTTAAAACCCCTGCTCTCTGAATCTTGCATGGAGGGTGTTCCAATCCGCAGTACTTAAGCACAAGCTTTTGACAAAGTCTTCAGGTTACTCATCCTGCTGCTCTCTTCCCCAGCTTCTTGCTCCTTCAGTGTTTCTGACACACTTCAGATGTATTCTTGACACTGTTCTTTGTACAGTAATAGATGGAAGAGCCTCGGATGTCAGGCTGCTGAGCTCCTTGTAGACTGTGTTGGATATTGTGTCTGTACCTTGTGTGGCTCTGTCCTGGAACTTATGTGTGTAGTTTCTTTGGCCAGTCCTTGGGAGTATCCATCCAATCCTTTCTGGCTCAGGTCTAGGTTCTGCCTTACCCAATTTATACAGCAAATGGGAAAGATATCTGAGTCTAAGTCCTTGCAGGAAAACTTTACTGAATCTCCAGGAATCTTCATCCAACACAAGACTGCCTAAGCTGAACCTAGGAGTGGATATCACTGTAGACAGGATGCTCAATCACTTTAGTCTCTGGCTCCCCATCAGCCCTTCTCCTAGTAATGCACTTACCTATAGCTGCTGCCACCAGGAAGAGGATGATCTGACCTCAGTCCACAGTGAGAACCTGTATGCTCACAGACTGTGGACACATGAGGACTAATGTGGTGCTGCTGGATGTGTGGATATCCTTGTATTTACTACCACAAATTTTGTGGTTCACGTAATCTTGGGGAATGGTATTTCTCAGATCAAGACCTTAATCTTTTTGAGACAGAACAGGGAGAGTTTTAGTATGTTAGTCAGTGGGAGGATGAGATACAAGAATGAAACCTGTCTGGGGAAACACATTTCCTGCTTCATCCTGGTACCTGTGTGGACAGAGCTCTTCCATCCCATCAAGAATCCAGTCACCTCATCAGTCTTCAATAAAGTGAACCACACATCAAAGGTTCAAGCATCACCTGAAACTCCTTAGGGTCAACCATATTTGTGATGCTGAGACTTTGCATTGACATTCTTGCCCCCATCAGACACTGGCACAGAGCTTTGGAGGCTTCTGTCCATTCTATACCAGTGATCAGCAGGAACGTGAACACCTCTGATATAAGCTGGAAACTGGAGTCCCAGGAGGGATAATTTTTCCCATAATGTTGCTAGGGTCCTGGAGTTCAAATACCCTTAACCTTTACTAATAAGTCTTCAATAAACAAGTATTCTATCAAGCAGCAGTAGGAATCTGTTCTGGAATTTAGAGACATCACTATGGATTTTATTTTATTTAGCAAATAACCTCTCCAGTGTTGTAGCATGGAAATTTCACATGTTAACTACACCATGGTCTCTGACTGTAATAAGACCGGCAATGAAGTCACAGACTATAGCATGAATCTTAAAGAGTCTTATTAATAAAATCAAACCTGAAGCCAGGTATTGGGGTGAACGCTGGAAGATCAGAGAACAAGAACAAGCCACAGTCACCTCACCTCGCCAGTTCCTCAGCTGATCCTGTTTCCTCAGACTGGAAACCTCTGTGTCCTCACCCTAATGGATCTCAGCTGACTTGCTGCTAAAAGCCTAAAAGCTTAACCAGGCTCTCCAGTTCCTCGTCTTCGTGCCTTAAATACCTTTCTGCTTTCTGCCATCACTTCCTGGGATTAAAGGTGTGTGTCACCATGGCTGGCTGTTTCCAGTGTGGCTTTGAACTCAGAGATCCAGACAGATCTCTGCCTTTGGAATGCTAGGATGAAAGGTGTGTGTGCCACCATTTTCTGGCCTCTATGTTTATCTAGTGGCTGTTCTGTTCTCTGACCCCAGATAAATTTATTAGTGTGCACAGTATTTTGGGGAAAACAATATCACCACACTTTGCCATGCATCTTTCTAGGTGGAACTTCATTCTGTGTCCTCAGGAATTTTTCTTTTTGTTTGGATCTAAATTCCCCAAGCTTAGCATCTTATTCATGAAATGTCATGGCTAATGATTTTCAAAGACTTAGATGCATTTGCTATAAGCACAGTGAATGGCATCTGTAGAGCTGAATAACCCACCACCAGCTCCAAAGAGTAGGTAAAGCCAATACCAAAGTATATGAGTCATGTGTACCTACACATGAATACTTGTTACCTGTAGGCACACATGTTAACCCCTAAAAAAATGCTGCATATCACAGTAGAGATGCATTTGTAAGGAAAAAAGCAACATGATCACAAGTCAAGTGCATTTCACTCCCATACAATTTTGTCCTGGATTGAAAACTTTTCAGTGTCTCATGGTACTTGAATATGCAATTCTGTACCTAAGTGCATTTACTCTCTTCTATATTCATGGCTTGCTATAAAGAGGGATTTTCGACATCAAGCTCACATTCACAATATATGTTGTACATTGTTGATGCTTTTGTTTGCATGATATTACTTCCTAGCAAATGCTGAAGTATGTTCATGCTATTGATTCTTCTGAAAGAAAGCCTAGAATTTACAATACAAACAACCTGGGCCTATCAATTCTTCCCTAGTTGAAGAACTTTGAGGAACTGGAACCTGATTCTGGGAAAAAATAGATGCTTAGAGGCCTTTGATGTAGTGATAAGGCTCAGTGAGAATCAGCTACAAACATTTATATCAGATTGACCACAACTCTTGTTTACCATTGGTATACATGAAATTCATTGAAAAGACTTACTATGGTAGAAGAAGAACCTAAATGCTTATTAGCGATTGCATTGCATACTTAATGTTTTGCACAAGCAATGACATCATTGTTAGCATAGGTTTTCCCTTTTAAAATCAGGCAGGTTTTCATACTAATTTGTGCTCATCCCAACAGAATGAGTTTTATACAGCCATAAAGGTCTAGAGCATCACTCTTCTCTAGTCAATATTGTCCCTGATTGTGTCTTACTCTCATTACCATCCCTGTGTTACAAACAGCTACATACCCCCAGTTGACTTCCATGGGGTCGCCACCATGAGACCAATTCAGAAGCTTAAGGAAAATGGTGATAAGTTGTGATGCTCTATGAGACAGTTATATTAAAACAATTAATCTTGTGGAACCAGCTTAGGCTAGTAGGTTAGTCTCACCAAAGCAAAAGGAAGTCTCAGAAAATAATACCTTCCTACTAAACTTCCTACTAAATCTTGCATCTTCTCTTCATATGTCCCTTCAGAATGTCACTATATTGATTGATCCTTACCCAAAAAATGCCTCAAAGTGTTCCCAGGCAGATCAAATAATGACTGTTTCCAGTCATTAGAGAAATATGAAGAGGCCTGCCTATGAACCAATCCTCCTTTCTCCATATAGAAAGATTTCAAAAATAATGTTACAGCAAACGGGGTTGAGAGTCATTTGCCTACAGGAATAGTAGATGTTTTCACAAATATGTATGAAATAATACTCTTAACCTGACAAGCCCTTATGAAAACAATTATCACCACCCCTCAGTTTAGCCTGTGTCTTCAGTAATGGATTGACAAATACCTGTCCACTGCTGCTCATAACCAAAGTCAGGGACCACTAGAAACATCATCAAATTATCAGAAAAGAAAACTTCCAAATAGTGGCCCAACTGCTTGCCAGCCCTCAAGTAGTTACAGCTAAAGCACCCAAGGTGCTTTAATGGCTTGGAATAAAGCTCTTGGTATCAATACTCACACAGGCATATTTCCCACTGTACACAGAATACAGAGCCATTTATGACTTTATCTGTCATCTGCAAAAAGCTACAGAGCATCAGGAAGAGAGTAAGAAAGCTAATTCCAACTTTCTCTTTTGTCTGCTTATTAGAATGCAAATTTTAACTGCAAAAAGCTTCATTCTGAAGTTGCTAATACTTATCATACTATTGCTGATTTGATAAAAGCATGCCAAAATGATGGCATAGAGGAGCTCAGACTCTGGCTGTCTTATTACGGCCTCATGTGTGTTTCACATATAGAGAGCATAGGCCATTTACAAGAATAATATAGATTAAAATCTTGCTAATCATTCTTAGTATACTAAACCTCCTTCTAAAACACCTGCACAGTGTAAGATGCATTTCCACTGGTATAGTTTATGAAATAGTGGTGACAAAGAGAATCCAATTTCAAGAAACAGGGGAATAAGCACCCAGGGCTGCTGATGACAGGATCAGGTCTCTACTTTCCCAGCTTGGAATCCACTGCTCTTTCCCAAGTTCTGTCTGAGCAGGAGCCCAGCTTGTTGCTAAAGTAGAGTAGCAGACTCTCCACCCTGGGAACTCCACAATGTGACACTCAGCAACACCCCTAATCCTAAAACAATAAGAGATTTGATTACCACTGCCAAAAGCAATTCATGATCAGATGTATCAGTAATTAAAGACATTAAATTAGATTTCATAGGAGAGGTTAAAGCATTTACCCCAAAATCTATGGGGACCCTTCCAACAAACTGCCAGTGCTTGTTTTCGGGAAACCAAACTGGACTGTGAAAGGGTGTTTGTTTGTGCACATGCTGTTGATTTGTCTTTTACTCGACTGATTTATATTATAGTTTATTCCCAATTACTCCACCAAAAGTTTCAGTCTCTTAGATTTAAGAGATATTTATAGCACCATGTATAGCCAAATTTTCTCCTATTTTACTTTATTATAAAGGAATCATGTCAATGGACGTGGTCAGTGGTTAACAGCTTTCAAGGTATGGTGTACTCTAGGCGCATCCTGAATCAACATCAATTTATTTCCAGCTTTTTCCCTTTTGAAAAGCTGACAAAGATCCTATAAGACTGTAAAATGACAGACAAAGGGACACTCAGAATGATTATTTTTTAGCTTGTTTCCAAGCTCATCTTCTCTGTCATCTCAGGCCCAGAACAGCTTCCTGCTCCTCCAGGGTTTCTGACACACTCAGGATGTGGGTTGTAATACTGTGTTTCTTGCACAGTAATAGACCGCAGAGTCCTCAGATGTCAGGCTGCTGAGATCCATGTAGGCTGTGCTGGAAGATGTGTCTGCAGTCAGTGTGGCCTTGCCCTGGAACTTCTGAGCACAGCCAGAATTACCATTTCCAGGATAAATGTATCCAATCCACTCCAGGCCCTGTCCAGGCCTCTGCTTCACCCACTGCATATATTCATTAGTGAAAGTGTAGCCTGAAGCCTTGCAAGACAACTTCACAGAGACCCCAGGTTTCACCAGCTCAGGCCCAGACTGCTGCAGCTGGACCTGGGAGTGGACACCTATGGAGAGAAAGGCAGAGTGGATGTCATTGTCACCTTAGTCCCTGTTGCTTCTTCAGGTTTGGAACTGGAAAGCCCCTTACCTGTAATTACTGACAGGAGGAAGAGAATGGTCCAGCTCCATCCCATGATGAGGACCTGTGTGCTCAGTGACTGTGGAGAGGAAACTGATCATATGCTGTTATGGCTTGTAGACATTCCAGTATTTACCATCATAGGCTCAGTAATTTGCATATTCATGAGTAGGGTACTTCTTTTATAAGTACCTAGTCCTGCTAGAGAAGGAGGTAGAGGACTCTTGGATCAGGCAGCAAGATGCAGAGGACCAAGTCTGAATCCTCTCTCAGGAAATGTATAACATGCTCCTTCCATGAGTTCTGTGCAGATGCTGAGGTTGTAACATCAGGACCTGAGCTCTCAGTAGGTTCAGTCCTGCGACATTTGCTTCACTTTGTAACCAGGTTGTCAGATTTATTTACCGAAGATGGTTGTGATGATGATGATGATGATGAGGAGGAGGAGGAGAAGGAAAAGGAGGAGGATAGTGATGGGAAATTTAAAACCTGCAAAGTTTGAAATTTACAGACTCCTTTCAGATATATGCAATTAATATTTGCCTTACTAAAAGATTATGTACTGAGAAACTCACTCAAATGACCAAAAGTAAACATGCTTCAGAAACAGATGAACAGCAATAATGATTGCAACATCACAATAACTGAATTATGGAAACAAACTATGCGTCGTCAACAGAGGATTTCACCATGAAGACATGTTTATCTAAGCAGCACAACAGAAGTTTTTCATCTGCAAGGAATATGGAACTTACACCAGTTATAGAAAAATGGATGCAATTAGAGATAAATGTATTAATTAAGAGAAACCCAGAATGGCGCACACCTTTAATCCCAGCACTCGGGAGGCAGAGCCAGGCGGATCTCTGTGAGTTCGAGGCCAGCCTGGGCTACCAAGTGAGTCCCAGGAAAGGCGCAAAGCTACACAGAGAAACCCTGTCTCAAAAAACCAAAAAAAAAGAGAAACCCAGAAACACAGGCATTAAATGAGACTCTCATTAGTAGTTTTTAGATATTCCATACTTGCATACAACTATGAATGCTAATATATAATGATGTATTTGTGAAATTGTTTAGTAAAATAAGGTAAACCCAAAGCAAAAGAAAGTAAGGGTAGAGATTATGGGGGAAATATACACAGCATACAAAATACACAAGTTTGAAAACTCTATAGAAAGGAAACCACAGAGTTTACAAAGTCCCCTCTGCAAACATTTCATCTCTCTACTGGAGATTCTTGGCTCCATTGTGCCCCCTGCTGGTCATGAGCTCCCCTGTAGGTTGGTGTGTCATGGCTTACACTGAAGTCGCACAAAGGTAAAATTGTTATTTTTACCTTTCACAATTTATAATTTATATCTTTGAAATTTTAGTCCATGTGTAAAATACATTAAGATCATATGTAAACCCACTATGCCCCACTGGTTCTCTATGGGAACTTCCAATAAATCTCTCTAGCAACTTCATGATCTCTTTTGTTTCATTAACTAATAACACACTGAGTCCAGTCTGTGCTGTCTATATACTTGTAGGTGGGTCATTCACTAGTACATAGGAAACCTCCAGAAACCTTCCAAAGAAAATTATGTTTTCCTCATCCACCATCAAATGCCAAAAGATCCACAGCTTGGTGTGGGACCTCAGGAGTTTCTCTCCATCCATTACATAGTTTTAAAAATTGTTATACTATCTTTAGTGGTGAGAACAGGGCACATATGTACCAAGGTGTATGTGTGACCCTCAGAGGACAACTTATGGAATTCAGTTCTTGTGTCCTATTATATGGATCCAAGCAATCAAACTGATATTGCTAATCTTGGCACTAGGCACTTTTACCTGCTCAGCTACTTCCCAGGCTCTCACACAACAAAATGAACTCAATGGTATTTTTATAGATGTTTTCTCTCATATCACAATATTGTGCATTTTTTGTTTCACTTTCTTTTGCCTGTATATCATGGTCAGAGTTGTGCTTTTTAGTATTTTGTGTATGCTTGTGTGTGAGTATTTATTTTTTATTTTTGTTTGGTTTTATTCCCTTTTTAATTTTTTTTGTCTATTTGATTTTTTCCTACAAAGAGAAAGACAGGGTATGGAGTTGGGTAGGGGAGGACATAGGAAAGATTTAGGAGTAGGGGGAGGGAAATCAGTGATCAGAAAACACTGTATGTAATTTAAAAAATAATTGTAAAATTAAATGAAAACTGAATAATATAAACAAGAAAATATAAACCTGGGAAGTGGTTAACCAAGAAACTTTACTGTGTTTGAGCATGGAAACATCACATGTCAATCACAGCACATGCAGGTCAGCTAGTAGACCCAAGAAAGGAAACCACAGAGTTTACAAAGTTCCCTCTGCACACATTTCTTCTCTCTGCTGGAGATTCTTGGCTCCATTTTGCCCTCTGCTGGTCATGAGCTCCCCTGTAGGTTGGTGTGTCATGGCTTACACTGAAGTCGCACTGTCACCCTTGAGCAGTAACAGATCCCTGAAACTTCAGTGCTCACAGAGCTCATCTGCAGGGAGAAATGGCTCCTGTTTACCTGAAGATGCTGACTGGATGTTTCAGAGATTGATTTTAAGATATTTCTATACTATCATTAATGCACCTCTCGATGGCAGGCTCCTACCTGAGGACAGTTGGATCTGGCTCTAGCAGTTCCCACTTGCAGAGAGAACAAAGTCTTGACTACCTTCTTCAGACTATACCGAGGACCGAGCACCTGATGTCAGAGAACCATAATGAGTCTGAAGCTCAGATGCAGCCCCCCATGTATCCATGTATGAATTCCTGCAACAAACAGATAAAGGGGTCAACAGAAAGAGAACATGCTGTGGTGCACACAGAAAATTTAACAATTTCAAAAAACACACTTCACTTGCATTAAGAAGGAAGTAAAAATGAATTAAATATATACTGTGACTCAATCTGTTTTCCACACTGCATTCGTTTGTGTTTAAAGGAATGAGGGGAGAGAGATCTGCTTGACAAGGATCCTCTTGGGTAGAAGAGAAGTGTACTTACACAACTTTATCTCTCCATGTCTACCTTTTCAATTCCAGAGTGCTCTTTTGCTTGAACAGGGCATGTGTTAATTAAGCTTTTCAGAAGCCGAACATTTTCATGGAAGAAGGATAGATTTGACATATGCTCCCAACAATGGGACAATTCAATAGCACTATGTAGGGATATGTGTAAATGTGTGTTTAAATGTCTGAAGTATAGTCACAATATCAAAACAAAAATACATAAACTCAGGATATTCATGTGTATTTTGCTCTAAGATCAGTTCACAAATAAGATGCACCTAATGTTGCAGGATAGAAGGATATGGGAAAAGTCTGATATACTTTTCTTCTGTCACTGGTCAGAATATATATGATATCTTGTGGACTGTTAGTTCACAGAACAACACCCACTTCTCTTTATAAAGCAACACTTATCCCTACAATTAAGGATGCAAATGTGGTTTTATCTTGGCATTTCAGAAACTCTGTTGTGCTGAGAAAGGTCTATAAAGCTGCATTTCATACTCCAGTACATGGGATGCTGATGGCTACCATAGTCTGCAATGGACAGGAGTGCATGCTTACTTAAATAGCATGGAGAAATCCTCTTACAACATAATCCATTCACAAAATTCTTGGCTCTGTGAACATGTGTATCAATACTATGAGCGTATTCTCCTGAATTATAGTAGTATTAGGATTATAATAAGTACATATGTGGTGCAACAAATATGAAAGTGAGCAGCTGTTTTCTTTGAATACATCACACATTGATTTCTAGCTTTTTTTTTGCATTATCCCTTTACTCTGGGTTTTTTCCCTTCTCCACTGGCTGGGCTCTGGTTTCAATGATCATAAATCCCCCAGAAGTTCCTTCTGTAACTGTGCTGTATTTTACTCTTCTAAACACCACTAAAGGACCTGAGCACCATGCGTAATTCCTGAGGCCCTCCACAGGGAAGACTGTATTTAGAAATGGACTCATATCTCATTGTGATTCTCACAGATTGATGCTCATGATTTCCTCAGTGGTCAGATATGTAAGATGCAGGAAGATCCAGTTTAGAGATGTTTATGTACATCTCTGGAGTGTACACTCTGTAACTTGCCTCGGAAGGAAGTTACAGACAACCTCTGCAGTCCATTCATCTGGGAAAATGTCATGATTCAGCAACACTAACTACTAAACAGACTTCAGCAAAGTACCAAGGATGACTGTGACACACATGTATCCCAAAGATTGGAGGAGAATGTCTTATGTTAAGGTGTTTACTGTTCTGTAACAGGCTGTGATTACAGCGCATGGTATTGAGACTGGGGAAGACTAGGATTGTGGAATCAGTCATCACAGCTTAGTCGAAGACCCTATTTCTAAAAGCTCCTAAATATGAACTAGTTTGATGAATATATTTTGTTAATAAAAACTCAAGAGCAACAGTGGTCATATCCTAGGAATATGACAATAACGTGAAATATGATTGTATTGACAAAATTATGATAGACACATGCTCGCATTAATATCAACATGAGAATGTGTGGATAAAGTTAACTTATTTAAAACTGTTGCTCTCTGAATCTTGCATGCAGGGTGACTAGGAAAACTGTTTATGTAACAGAATTAATTCTTAATCTGTTGTTTCTTTCCTTGTTACTTAATCTCAAGTATTGAGAAAGTCTTCAGGCTACACTTTCCTGTCTTTTCAGGACCAAGGCAGCTTCCTACTCCTTCAGGGTTTCTGTCACACCTGAAATGTATTCTCTGACACTGTTCTGAACACAGTAATAGATGGCAGAGTCCTCAGATGCCAGGCTGCTGAGCTCCATGTAAACTATGTTGGACGTTGTGTCTGCCTCTATCTAGCACTTTCAAACTCAGTTTTAGGTTCTGCCTTACCCAATTCATACAGGAAATGGTGAAGCTATCTGAGTAAAAGTCTTTGCAGGAAAACTTTATTGACTCTCCAGAACTCCTCAGTCCAATGCCAGATTGCTCCAGCTGAACCTAAAATTGGGCATCACACATAGAAAGATGCCATGATCAC